AATTGTGAGGAGGTATTCGTGCCACTTCCTGGAATTTTGATGACGTAAAATTCCAAGAATTCCCGAGCGAAATTTTTCAAATTCCACGGACCGATTTTGAAAAATTGTATCAGGAGAACATAAGTTGTGAGGAGGTATTCGTGCCACTTCCTGGAATTTTTATGACGTCAAATTCCAAGAATTCCCGGGCGGGATTTTCGAAAGCCCACCGACCAATTTCGAAAATTTGTATCAGGAGAACATAAGTTGCGAAGAGGTATCTATCATGCTACTTCTTGGAATTTTAATGACCTCAAATTCCTAGAATTCTCATGTTCTCTTGATACAAATTCTCTCTCTCGAATATGTAAATTTTTATTCGGTTGGGTTTGTTGGGTAACAATAAATAGACAATGTTTCTTCATAAATTTTTCTTTATTTTCATCACTTTTCATACAGTGTATAACTTAATTTAACTTATTGTTTAATCATTTAATTAGTAACTTGAGGAATTAATATATTTTGCACGGGGAATTAATCAGTTAACGTCGACTCCTGCGCAGTAGCAAACCTCTACAAATGTTGCAGAATATGGACGAAAAAGTTGGCGTCCATCTAGCGGCGAAACAGTTGAACTAAACTAAAAAAATGAGGGTCCGAACACGCATATAAGGAAAAGAAAAAAATGAATATTTCGACACTTTGACGACGTAGTATGGTTCCTCAGGGATTTAGAAACAAATTTCTATTAGGGTTTGATGCGTTTTGATGCCTAATAAAGCCAGAAAATCAATTTTTGTCGAATTCGGTCGAAAACGGTACAGGTGGCGCCATCTAGCGGTGAGCGGAGGAACTACGAAAAACTAAAATTTCGATTTTCTCCGAAATTAGGCAATTTTACGTATTTCTGAGGGTCGGAAATTGTTCTGTGACCTGTCTAGAACCTATATAATGCCACAAGAACCTCCTCAGAGCGCTAGAAAAGAAAATAGAAAAATAGTCCAAAACATGGACTAAAAAATTGGCGTCCATCTAGCGGTGAAAGTTGGAACTACAAAAATATAAAAATGTGATTTTCGCGAAAATTAGCGAACTTCGAGTACTTCTGAGGCTCAGAAAGTGTTATGTGATCGCATTAGAAGCA